TATATATATATATATATATATATATATATATATCTGTGTGTGTGTATGTGTGTGTATGTGTGTGCTTGCGTGCACGCGGGCGTGTGTGCTTGCGTGCGCGCGTGTGTGCCTGTGTGTTAATATAACAACAATGAAAGACTTGACAATAGAAAATGGTGGAAAGAAATTCTTTCTCCAACTTTATAAAAACATGGATATGTGTCATAAGAATGCCGTTGGCTTTAATCGATCCATGAAAAGAAAATATTTTCAATAATAAAGCATTAAAAGTGGCCCGTGTCATTATAACTTTAGTTTTCCGACCATGAGACCCAGGTTCAAAAGTAACAACAGTCGTTTTTTTTCAAATGAGTGAAATTTGGTAGACGGAACTATTTGGAAGCTGTCGACGGCTCTGTTAGCATAAAGTTATAAATCATCGTGACTGAGGGTTTGAGCGAACTGGTTTTGGTCATCTATTGATTACGCCAGATTATTAATTCCTCTCAGGACCTCTAAGATTCGCTCAGCATAGATGAAGATAAACCACTGTGTGTGTATGTGTGGAACAAACCCAGATGTGCAGAGAATGTGTCTGTCATAGGTATGAACTGGTCCCCCTAGCAGCGGGGCATTCGCCGTAACGGGCAGCCAGCTATTATAGATGTATTAAAACCAATGTTATATAGTAAATATTTTGTAATTATTCATACCCTTCAGATGACAGTCATGTTACATTAATTAATTATAATCGTCGTCGGCTTTATTTCGTATACAAGAATTTAATTATTTCTTTGCTAATCTCTTCCTTTATGATAATGGCGTTGATCATTACATTCATCGCCAACGTTGCAGATTCAAGACGGGAAACTTCTAGTTTCACCAAAACCTGCTCCTGTTATCCATTCCCTATCGCCGTTTGGCTTTGCAAGTGTTGGTTAAAGGTGAAAGAAAATCAGAGTAGAAGAAAGTGCTGATGATATGAATTTGTTTAAGGTGGACCTCAACTTGCCAGGAATTGACTGACACACTTGATTTCATGATCTTCCTCTGTAACACATATGGAATGAGACATGCAGAATCCAGTTATAAAACTGCTGCTGAATCGAATGGCGCCTTCACGGGTATGTTCCTCATGCGTAGTCTACACGCACACACACACACACACACACACACACACACACACACACACACACACACACACATATATATATATATATATATATATATATATATATATATATATATATATAACATTACAATATTGCTAAAGTTTCAAATCCATAAGCCTAAACGTTTAAAATGATAACTCACCTCCTTTGATATACTTTCTACCCTCTTATATACCTTTCTACTAATCTCTTAGATTATGGTACTTAAAATGATTTTTACACATATATAATACTAATCAAATATAATATAATAATATCAGATAAATTGATTTACACCCATACTTATTCCACAAGTTATACAGTTCAACAATAGGTCAAAATTTGCTTATAAAAGTGTTATGGTCCGGTTCCTTGTACCACGGTGATAGTCCAAGGTAGAACCAATAAAGAAGAACTCGAACACGTATATGGAATAACACAGATATTTTACAAACAGGAATATATACAGAGAAGTAGAAAGTGTTAGTACGAACAATCAGGTTTAGTAGTAATTGTCTGAACGCGACTCTGTTTCGGACTGCCTCTGAGTAGACTGACTGACTAGCTCTGATTGACTGACAGACTCCTGACGGACTTCATTCCAGACTTCAGACTGAACAGTATTTAGTCACTCCCCCACACCCTCATGAGGGCGTCCTGTGGCATAAGGCCGGTTTAACGTGGGATCTCCGAGCCCGCGGGCTCGGCCAAAAATATGCCCATTGAACCCGTATAAACGGGTTCAGGGTCGGTTTACCTCCCCGAAAGAGACTCCGCCCTTCGGCGTAGCCTCGTTGGGGTTCCTCCCCGCCCGAAGGCAGAGAGTTCAACCGATCAGCCGGTCATCCGGTCGCCCGACTTCGGACTGAACTCCCTGCTTCCTCTTGAGGCGCAGTATTTATTACGTATGGAATAGTCCATTATGTTATTATGGCTAAGGTCCCATAACAAAAAGTTATATAAATATCCCATACTTTTATATATCTTTCTACTTATATCTTAAATTCTGAACTAAAACTTATTGTTAAAAAACAGACAAACAAATAACTTATGTATACACCCCAAGAAAAAATCTCCATCTCTTAATTTATTAATTTACAAAATACATTCCTTGATTACAAAACGAGTAGCAATAATTCCAGCCTAAATATATGCAGTTCAGCTCTGGCTTTGTTTTAAAGTTACCAAAAACATTTCCGATTACTACTATCACCATCGTTTGTTCTTATATCATTCTTCCTCTTTCATCTTCTTACTCTCTCTCCTATTCCCACCTTTCCTCCCCCCATCCCTCACTCTTAGGAGGCTTGTAAATGGTGTGCCTAAACCCTTGACCGTTGTTGTTGATATATATATATATATATATATATATATATATATATATATATATATATATATATATATATATGCATGCACACATCTATAGAGCTGAAGGAAGATAGATTCATGCTTTTTCTAAGTCACTCAATTCAAAAGACATGGGAGCTGCTGTTACAGCAAACCCTACCACTACGGCAAAGGAACTCTGTGAGAAATTTAATGTTACTCATACTGCTAGAGCCGGTTCAAGGGTCATGTGTCACCCCCGAAACTATGATACGGAGTCCCCACTCCATTACATCACTATTTTGATAATGTACTATTCATATAAAATCCATATAATAATGTACTATTCAGGTAAAATACAAATTTTATTTTAACCTAATTATGTACAATATAAGTGAGCAATTCAATTAGAGAAATGGAAAATGAATACAGCGTATCTGAATACAAATTAGAGACATGTCATAATAGATCATTCCATTTTAAATAAGTCAGAAATGTTTTTCAGCAACTTTTAACATCAACATGAGTTTTTTCTTGTTAGAAAGTTGAATAATTTCCACACATTCAACATTGTGGATCAACAATTGTGAATTTTATGCAGTGTATTTTTGGGAATTAGCATAAAAAAAAAAAAAAAAAAATTAAAAATATCACGAATTTATATAAAAAAGTCCCCGGAATGAATAAAAATTTCGCGAAAATTTTTCATCCTTTAATAGTCAGTTGTGCTTAAGAATTTAATCTGTAACTTATATAAATATAAGTAGAAAAAGCAAATATCAATAAACTAGCGACGGTCAGAAACCACTATCCCGAGCCCCCAATCAGGCCTGGACCCTTTCCTCCAGTCGTAGTGGTCGAGAGTATTACGCACCGGACTTGCACACGACAGTCCGACGTGAACTAAAAAAGATTGTAATGTTTGCACTGGTTGGAAAATGGGTCGCACGAGGAACTGTCTTCAGAGTGTCGATGGTTACGAGTCATTGCTTACACGACAATTTCAAGCGCCCTTTTTGGACAGTCTTATTGCTGAACAATGCATCCTTTACACCATAATTACACCATCGTCAGTGGATCAGTCATCTGTACCTCAAGCTGAACCATGTTATAATTCAAAAAATTGTCCATCTCCTAGACTTGCCCATCTCCTAGACTTGTTGACAAAGAGGGCTAGAGATCCCTGTCTGCCCTACTATTTAACCCATAGCTGAATCTTTTTTCCAGGTTGAAGTTTCGTCCAGCAACAACACTTTAGATACTACACGACATACAAGTCTTGTCACAGCTGACTGCTTCTATAATGCAGTCTGAACGTGAAAAAAACTTGGAGGCTCAATATGTGCCAAGAGTTATGTTAAGCGAAGCAAAACACTGCAGAAACCTATGAAATGGTCAAAACCGCTTAAGGATTAACCTTACGCTGGCACACGAGGTTCCAGGAGGACAGGAAGCATGTGAGGAACGACTGGAGGTGTGGCAAGCAGAGGGACAACAGTTGGTCGACAAAATTCGCAAATTTTGGGGCAATGAGCATCGCGCATATCTTCTGACGATTGTTAAACAATTTGAAGTCGATGAGGGCACCGTGCACAGAGTCATCCATGACGATCTGAACATGAGCAAAATTTGTTCCCGGGGTGCTCAGTGAAGATGAAAGGCAGAGCTACGTTGATGACAGCAGGAAGATGGTCGAGTGGATCGTTTCGAATCCAAGTGTTCTTGAGTCACTGGTGACTTGTAAGGAGAGCTGGGTCTATTATGAGCCAGAGTCCAAAAGACAAAATGTCCAGTGGAAACATTCTAGAAGGCCAGGCATCATCTACAGCCACTGGGTTTCCTACAGCCAGATAGTAAACAAAGAGTACTATGCAGAGGTTTTGTGGCAGTTCAGAAAGAGATTTTATTGCAAGAGACCAGAACTCTTCAATGCATCTGCACCAGGACAATGCCCCGTGTCACAAATCTATCCTGGTGACCGATATGAGGATCAGGACTGTCACTCATCCTCCCTACAGTCCAAACATAGTCCCATGCGATTTTCGGGATGTTCCCGAGATTGAAGGAGAAGCTCAGCGATGTCAGTTTTGAGGAAGTGCATGAGATGAAGGAGGCTTTGAGAAACGCCATGGACACCTTCATTTTGGAGGACGATAAGGCGGCCTTCCTGAATTGGTTGGAGTTCTAAAACAAGTGCATTGAAATTAGAGGATCGTACTTTGAGAGAGAGAGAGAGTAGAAATTTGTGTTGACCTGTGTTAAATAAATGTCTCTCTGAAAAAAAATATCGAAAAAAGTATAGAAAATGCCATGTTTGCAAAATCGTCCACATTAAATTAACTTTCTGCTTCTTATGACATTTCATCATTATTTATTTCATTCGCTTAACTCGTTCTTATAATTATTATTTACATACACTATAATTATTATTATTATTATCATCATTATTATTATTGACAATAATAATAATAATGTTTCCAGATTTTTAGCGAAATCGCCATGTTTGTTTATATTTGTTTTCGACGAGATTGTTAAGGTTATTGCTTATGATTTTGAAATGCTGTTTCCACGATAAAAGACATGACGTGACATGTCAGTGTGTAAGAGTTTAGAAAGAAAGTGAGAAGGAGAAACAGAAAATGGATGAAGAGAGAGAAAGGGGAAGAGAAAAGAAGAAGAAGAAGAAGAAGAAGAAGAAGAAGAAGAAGAAGAAGAAGAAGAAGAAGAAGAGTGAGGCAAACGACTGGACAGGAAAGTGAGAATTTGGAAAGAGGAAGAAAGAGATGGTAAATTAGAGATAGGAAAGAGGAAGAGAAAGAGAGAGAAAGAAAGAGAAAGAGATAACGGAAGACAAAGAAAGGCAAGGAGAGAAATAATAATAATAATAATAATAATAATAATAATAATAATAAAATACAATCCGAAAGACAAAATGAGAGAAAAGAATTTAAACAGAGAAAGCGTCTTTTAAATTCAAAGGAGTGGGATTGTACCGACATATTTTTTCTATACCATTTTTAAAGATGACGATTTAAACAGCTGAGACTAAACATTCAGTTGAGAGGCTTGTCAACCCACCCCACCCTACCTCAAGAAAACAAAACAAAACAAATTTCAGCATCTACGTCCATTTGCCCCAACTAGAAACCGGTCAGTTTCCGTGTGTCTACTTCCTCAGTAAAAAAGAGTTCGGAGATGAAGTTTCATGCGTTCAAAGAGATCCCGCCACTTTCACGCTAACATAAAAATCACTTAGATTAAAGTTCTCTCTCTCTCTCACACACACACATATAAATCGTACATGAATAAGCACAAACTCTATCTCTTTATTTCACTTACATATATATTTACATGTGTATGTACACGACAACTAACGAACGCAGATTCAGTCAGAATTTTGTTAGACAGGGTTCTTTTAATCTTTATATTTTGGTTGATTTGAACTCATTGTCATGCAACATTTCGGTAACTTCCGAATTTTCTTAGGACACAACTGACACACAAGAATACCGAAAGTTACACCATAGAAATACTGTGATAAAACCTGATCAGCTTAGTAGCAAATATACACGCTGATATACATGGTAATTGCCATATCTTACATAGATGAGAGCCACCACTAGGATTTTTTGTAATGGCTCCCGTTTCATTTCGGCGTCTATGGCTCCGTAGATGACTCTTAAGACCAGTACTTCATTTCATAGATATCAGGCATATATGATAGATCTGACTGTATCTTTGATTGGGTTGACTAGATCTGTATGGCCTACACCGCACCTGTGTATCTACAAGTCTTGTTGCAAACAACGCGGTTATTACCGACAGGACGATGGGGTAAGTTGCCATAGCAGGTTGTAATGATGACCTTTCAGGTGGTTTACATAACTTGCCCACCGACAACAACATGCGCTCACACACACCACATATCCAAGTCTGCAGATGAGTTGTCAGATCTGAGTAAGTGCCTATTTGGAGACCACGCCTGAGACATTCATCCTCAAAGGGGTTGCGTCCATCCCTTATGAAGTCCCTCTACTTTGTACGATTTAAAATCAGTTCTTTTTAATACAATGCATTCAGATCATCCTTCAGATTATGCAAAAAAAGACATGACTACATACACGCGCATGCAAGCAAACTTACACACAAACACCCACATATTTATACGCACATGTTTCACCTGTTACTTACTCTCTTTCTTTCTTTCTTTCTTTCTTTCTGTCTCGGTTTTTCTGTTTCTCTTTGTGAATCTACTTTAACTTAAGGGATCGGAACTACAGAGAAAGACACATTTGGCTTTTACTCGGGTGATATTTTGTTTCCAACTCAGCCAAGAACAGACAAGTATTAAGATCAAGTAACAGGAAACTTATGCATAAAATCAGGAAGAGACAGTTGAAATTTCTGGGGCACATAATGAGGAAGAAGGGCTTGGAAAATTTGATCCTCACAAGACAGATTGAGGGCAAGGGAAAAGGACGCATGACATACTTAACGGGCTTGAGAAAATAGAAGACGGTAGAGAGATTCTAAATAACAAAACGACAGACTCTATTTAGAGCTGCAAGGGACAGAAAATTGTAGAGAGCCATGATCGTTTATGTCCTGAGGGGATACGGCATATATATATATATATATATATATATAAGACTTTTTTATCTTTATACATTCTTTTTATAGATACAAATATTTAAGTAAATGCTCTGTTTATAACAAATAGTATTAAACAACATTTACCGGCCTGAATGTCCGAGAAATTTTCACAGAAAATATTCGTCCTCCGACAAGATTCGAACCTGTTTCCTATACGGAACCGTCATTTAGCTTGAGGTGCCTTTACCGATTTGGCCAAGTAGGAGAGTTCGGTTAGCAAGGTCGAATTTACTGTATTTGGATTTCAATTCGACCTTGCTAACCGAGCGCTCCTCTGTGGCCAAGCTAAATGACGGTTCCGTATAGGGTACAGGTTCAAATCCTGTCGGAGGACGAATATTTTCTGTGAAAATTTCTCTTACATTCAGGCCGGTAAATGTTGTTTAATACTGTTTATTATAAACAGAGCATTTACTTAAATATTTGTATCTATAAAAAGTATGTATAAAGATAAAAATGACTTAAAAGTAATTGTCAGACTTTGTCCATTTCATAATATATATATATATATATATATATGTAAGCAAATATATGGATATAGATCCGACAGTATGAAGAAAAATACAGAAAAAACAAACAAAAATCTTATCTATATCAACGGAAGGGATTTCTTGAACTGTTTATATAAAATAGTTCAATCGACTTTTTTAATATTTTAATATTTTAATATTTGGAAATCATCTTCGAATACGTTTTCACAACATCGCCCACGTGACGACGACGTGATCATATTTAAAGGGAACGCTGATCTTATATAAAATTTCAGTTATCTGTTTGGATTAGTTGTGTTCTTATGTCCATCGTCTGTTGTGTTAAATTTTTATATGTTCTAATGTTAATTATGTTTAAATGAAAATGTCCATGAAGATGGTCTTAAATAGACCGAAACGTCAGACGTCGATTTTATATTAACATTAATACAGCATAATTGCATATTAAATTTTTTGTTTGTTTTTTCTGTATTTTTTTCTTATATATATATATATATATATATATATATATATATATATATATATATATATATATATATTATAAATTAATTGATTTAAAATATGTTTTTTTCGCTACACAGTTCCAACCATGTTTCAAAATAGAAGCTAAAAACCCGAATTTAATTTTGCAATTAAATTAAAAAGCATTGTTCATTTCATCTTCAAGCGAATTTCTGTAACTTTTAAAAATTACCGGGTTTTAAAGACACAGCTAAAATCACGTTTCCCGGTAATATTCTACTTAAATTGAACAAGGGGATGACATAAAAAAATACTGACTTGTTCAGATGAAATGGAAAAATCTTTTAATTTAATTGCAAAATTAAATTCGGGGTTTTTAGCTTCTATTTTTGAAACATGGTTGAACTGTGTAAAAAAAAAAACATATTTTTAAATCAATTAATTATAATATTAATGCTCTGTAAATTTACATTGAGCACTATTTTGTAAAATAAAATATCTATAAGAACACCGTATTTTATATCTTACTGTTCTTTTTTTTTATATATATATATATATATATATATATATATATATATATATATATAGAGAGAGAGAGAGAGAGAGAGAGAGTTCGTTACCAAAAGCCAAGTTATAACCTCAAATTAAAGGTTCAATCGGGAAGCTGTTGGAAGCCAAACTGGGAATTCGGAGAGAAATCACGACTAATTGAAAGAATGCGTAGAGGAGTGCTGGTCGATAAAGAGAATCTGAGTGAAAAAAAAAAAAATTTGATGATGCATGGACAGGGTAAATAGAAGGACATGGATGTTGATTAACTTTAATCCCAACAAGTGCCATCACCTTGGGTTTAGTCTAATAAATATCTTTCATCCTTCTGCTTGGTTGCCTGTATTCCTTTACAGATTCCAACCGAAAGCATTCCAGAACTAATGATATTTTCTCACCACTCGTTTTGGTAAATTTCTAAAAAAAGAAAAAAAAATCTAGTTTTTCATTTTGCTCTCTGTGAACAATTAATTGCTTTGTCATTGGTCGATTGTTGTTCTCAGCAAAATGCTTCCCCAGCGAAACGTTACTACTGTTTGGTCAGGGAAGCAAGGCCAATTATTTTCTTTTGCCGTTTTCTCTGATTGCAATCTTAACAGGTTGTCAACAGCTTTTCTCTCTTCGTCCATTCTCGACTTGAATTTGATCAACTAAAATCTTTACACGCAAGTACACATTTAATAAATGACAGCACGAACTATCGCGTGAAGACGCGATACTTTTAAAAACGATATGACAAGCGGAGATGTGATATTTGAAAAAAAAAAAGCGATGAGACTAACAAATTTATTTCTACGGAAAGCAAGAAAAGGGTACGAAATCCATTTTTTCCCTTTAAGTTTTGACACGGGAAAACGAAGTTTCTAGCAACTTTTCTCCTTCCTTTCACTCAAATCATCGTGTTTTCAAACATTCATTTTGAAAAATTGTTATACATCAAACGGGCTGTAAGAAATTAAATAAAAATATTATTTTCATGTGTATTAAAAAGTTATTTTAAAAGTATTTAAAATTGAGCACATTTGAATTGTATACATGATACATACATACATACATATATATACATATATATATATATATATATATATATATATATATATATATATATATATATATATATATATATATATATATATATATATATAATAATAAGAAAGAACAGTAAGATTTGTAATCCGGTGTTCTTAGCAATTATTTTAAAAAAAACTGCTCGATACAAAACAGTAGAGAAAAATATAATTATTTTCTTTTTAAAAATATAATTCCATTGCGACACAGAAAATTTCCATGTTTAAAAACTGAAATTAAAAATTTATAAATTTAATTATTAAAATTAAACTCAAAATCCATAGTCTTGTTCCTATCATGGCTTGAGGAAGGAGCGAGTCTATGGATTTTGTTGGAAATGGTCTAGAGGGACCTCATGGCTATTGAGAACGAGGCCGCACAAAAAAACTATTTAATTTAATTTTTTAAATTTTATTTTCATTTTATTTATTATTATAATACCGACAAAATATGTGTGCTCAGTAATTATATCATATATACTTGAAAATACCTTTTCCTGTGGTGATTGATATTTATATAATGTGGGCTTTTTTTATTCTGAATAATAATAGCTATTAGAGTTTTGAGTCTTTCCGTGCATTCGGTGTTGTAGAGTATTTTGGTGTCGTCTGCTAGTATTTGTTTTATGTTGTTAGTTGTAATTTAGTCGTTCATGATGTATTGATAGATATGTGCACAGATTTGCACCAAGTTTCGACAGGTGACAAGACAATCGGCGATAGATTGGAGTGCATGTATGCCCAAATTAAGTATTTAATGTTGTTCTTTGACTATTAGCGTTGGGGATACAATCTCCAAGACGAGCATGAAAATTCATTGACAATATTATTTTTTTATATAGGGGGAATTTATAAGGCACGATGTTGTTGGTAATAATTAATTTAGATGTTTTAAAATTATTGTAGTAGATGATAAATCTTAGGTGATTTTTAGGACCATTGAGTGATACGTACTTATAATTAAAGCGCATTTTGTTACGATAGTCTTTATATTAGTGTCTATATATACAGGATTTGGTATAGGGGATGCAAAAGTAGGTATACAGTAATGAAAAAATAAAATGTGCGCACAAAACTTATTGCAGAAATTATACAAAAGTAATAACTTAATACATACTGTATACCTATTTTTGCAGCCCGTACACACACACACACATATATATATACACAATTATACTTCGACCTGAAAACAATAGACAAAAACTAAAAATCCTTGAAGCATTATACATCAAACAGTTGAAACCCAACCTAAACAAAATCAATTATGGAATCTCTACAAATATCCTTAAATGTCTATAATTGGTAACAGAAACCATTGGTTTATACGAATGGCTTCCTATACTTCATACTTCTCCAATTCACTCTCGCGTGGTCATGTGTGACGTCATGAGATGCGGTGCGATTTTCGCTTCTAGCGTCTTATATGCACGTGTTTATCGTTGCTTAGAAATTATCTATGTAAACAATCACAGACTATTATCACTGTCTTGTCCGTACATTGCTTAATATGTTGTAACTGACATCTTTGATAATGGCTTATGTAAGCCGAAAGCTTAGATTGTATTAAAAAATATGGATCAATATTGTGAATTTCTTTCTTCGTTCAATGATAATGTTATTAAACTTAGACGTTATGAAAAGAACTTACATAAAATAAATAGACAACACTTGTCTATATTATTTAATGAAACGTGTATGAATGAAAAGAAGCTGCCTAAATACACACACAATATATATATATATATATATATATATATATATATATATATATATATATTGAGAGTAGTACATTTTGTGAGCTAGCAGAAATATCAACATACTCAAATGGAGAAGAAAGCAATTTCTCACAACGGGTCACATTTTTTACTATTTTGATTTAAGTTTTAGACAGGTCAGACGACTGAAGGCACTGGTGCCCTAAAGAAAAAAGGATATATTACACGTAGGGACAACAAAGGTGTTGAAGAGGTAATGGATGGGATTTAAGGCTTAAAGAAGAAGAAGGAGGAGGGGAAGATGAGGAAGAGGATGAGGAGGGGAAGAGGAGGAGGAGGGGAAGAGGAGGAGGAGGGGAAGAGGAGGAGGGGTATAGAGACGATAAAAACAAAAAACGTTAGAAAAGTTGATTGAAATCGTCTTGTGATATACATATCTCCACTTGTAGTTCGTTGGTTGAAAGCATAGGGTTACACTAGACTTGTCACAAGGGAATGAGAACAGTGCTAAAAGACTTGAAAAATCAAACAAACAAATAAGTTGACAAGCTAAAGAAAAAATAACAACATTCTCTCAAAATTCCAGAATTTTCCGAAACATTTTTGTTAACTACATCAAGTTCAGGAGCGGAACGTAAACATTTCCATCATGACTTTTCGAGAGGGGTTAATACATTCATAGCGACGATTCAATATCCTTGGATTAAAGTTATGTAATTATATCTTCTCTTAATTTAGGCGATAACGTATGTTTACCAATTGCAAGAGCAGGGATAGTTTTGTGAAAAATGCAGGCTTTGACGCAGCCAGTGAAAATATTACTTCCTTTATATTAATTCCTATAATTAGATCAAAATCTTGATGTTGATAATAATAATCAGAGAAATACGGTTATAAGAAAACATCAATAAGGGTTTGATTTAATATGCATACACGCATAAAAGTATAAATAACTCTGTGCAAAAAAGCATGAAATATTGCACGGTGTGTAAGTTTCTTTTGAAAATAAGTTTTATGAAACTTGACATCCGATGACTTCTGAGGATATCTTTCTTCTTATATTACCGGGTAATGTCACGAGGGTTGTGATTCTCACTAAATTACAGATGTTGTTGTTTTTATGATTATACTTCTGGTTTTATAAAATATTTTATGGTAGCTTAAAATAAAGTCAGATATAAGGAAGCCATGCTACATGAGAGTGGAGATTAATGAGGCTATACTATGACATGTAGTTATTAAGTGAAATTTGATTTCAAATCTTTCTTACGTAATGTTTGACATATATAATTATTTGTCACTGAATTAAGTGCATCAACAGGAAAAGAGATTATATACAATAATAAATATTTGTTATGTAAAACAGTCGCACACACACATACATATGTTCATAGAAACTCATCAGGATTCCTCAGTGCACAGTCACGTATGTGCTATGCGTGATACACGCTTAGGCGATCATGTATCTTTCGATATATGACTGAAGAAGATTTTTTTCCCGCAGTAGGTTGCTATTTCTTTCTGCGGTAGACTAGTTGCCATCCAAGGCTATAAAAACCGGTCTGGTGGGAGAATTCATACTTTTCCCAAGAGTATTAGAATGGGTTCGACTGGAATTCGAACATATGCATCCTCAATATTAAGTATTCAACACCCTCTATGTCAACTTATATAAGCTTAATACTGCGCGACAAAAGTGTAAAATTTAATTTAATTTTTCATTTCACCTTTTGAAAGTGAAGTCTGAGGATCCAAGGAAGGATAAAATTCTCTGGTGAAATAAATTATTACAATGGAGCCTTAAAGTGGTCTGTTTTTCTTTAAATTAATATATATATATATATATATATATATATATATATATAAAACAGCATTAATACAGGTGGTTAACGACTAAAACAACACGTAGTCCGTTACTGTAGTTTAACACGTTTAAAGGCGAGCATATATAGTAAAACAGAATACTCATTATTAAAAAAATAAATCCAAAATGCTAAACAAAAAAATAAAAAAATTCTAAAATAAACGCCAGAAGACTTATTTATTGAAATCAAGTTACGCAGGTGTTTTCATCCACAGATAAATCTCTCTAACTCTCTAACTCTCTCTCTCTCTCTCTCTCTCTCTATATATATATATATATATATATATATATATATATATATATATATATATATATATATGTGTGTGTGTGTGTGTGTGTGTGTGTGTGTGCGTGCTCATTACTCCAGACCAGAATATTCAAAACAGTTCAGAAAAGAGCGGAAAGAAATTTCAATGGCATGCGATCTTTTTCAACGATGGATCGCTTTTGTGCGTGAACTTTTCTGTAAAATAACGTGTCTCTTCGGTCTTGATATATATGAATTGAGAACTCCGATAGCCGGTAATGCTTATATCTCGTATATAATCCGTTAAAAATCCCCTTTCTATTCTGCGTGCGCTGATAGCCTGATGTCAAATCGGTCGGGTTTAGATCCTGGCTTGAAGCAACCACATGTCTAGCCACACTGATGAGTTGTGATACAGCGAAACAGTCCGTGGATGACTATATATATATATATATATATATATATATATATGTGTGTGTGTGTGTGTGTGTGTGTGTGTGTGTGTGTGTGTGTAACCCCGTTACAGAATTGTAGAAAAATGCAATAGTTATATTACTTAAACTCAGAAACTAACTCATTTCTGGGCTTTTTGTCGGCTTTTAAAATTTAAATTTCTATATTCATATTAACGAATCAATGACGTCATATGCGGTATCCTTTGAATTTGTAGACAATTAATATTTGCTGTTTGCTACGAAATTTTAGAGTATCACTTTAGAATATGATCAAGAATATTTGCCCTCTTTAAAATGGATATATAAAAATTGGGAAAATATTTATTAACCAATAAACTTGAGATTAATATATCTAATTTTTGTTTTATCTGGAGCCGATTTTTTGTTATAAAAGTGATCAGTTTTTAGTTTGCTAATTAGTTTTCCAGTTAACCTTTGACCAGAGGTCATTCGCTTGTTATACAAATCTGAAATTCTCACACCTTAATTAATTACTCACATATTTTTTCGCATATTTATTCGAGTATACTAGATTATTATCACAAAAATGCTTATTCAGCTGCCGACTGCTACAATTTATACGCATATATGAAACAACGTAAATTCGTGTCACAGACATTTTCCCATGTAGACGCATTCCATTTCTTCTATACTAATGCAGTTGGTTCAGTTGTACTGTAAAGAAGATACACAAAACATTTTGTGTGAAGTTGTTTCACAAAGAATCTTTGTAATTCATTTCTTTCAATATGAAAGAAAAATAATAATAAAAAATTATTTAAATTTTTAGAGCCGTATTGAAGATGTCTTCTTCGTTTTATTCACGCAGGTCAAAAAACTCCTTAATTTGATGTTACCTCGCTGTTGCAATGAAGAGACGTTGACAAAGACACTTTCAAGTGATTCGTTTATGTAAGGTTCAAAATAATAGAAAAATCGTGCTTAAAATAAAAAATAAAAAGTATAATAAGACAGACTTACCGATTTCACAGAGGGCCCCACTAAAACCAGCTGGGCAGCGGCACATATTTGAACCCACGCAGGTACCTCCATTTTTGCATGGCGATTTACTACAATGTTCTGTCAAGGACAAACCACCAAAAGAAAAAAAAAAGCATCATAAATATACATGATTCCAACAAATATTTATAAGATCCATATTTCTGAAAATTACACAGATATAATTAATATTAATAGATCCTGTTTTCTTTTTTCTGTCCTTGTTCAAAATTTTCTCTTGATTAGAATGTTAGGTCTTTTGGCAAGTCCTCAGTTGGTTCCATCAACGATTTTGGTTTTTCTTTAACACACACACACACACACACACACACACACACACACATATATATATATATTACTTCAAATATTATTTTAGTGGATAGCTGTTTTAATATATGCGTATTCACTAAAATAACGTTTGAAGTAATAAAAATATATCGTATTAAAAATATAACACACACACACACACACACACACACATATATATATATATATATATATTGTGTTTAGGCAGCAATCCTTCATTTATGCTTGTTTCATTAAAGATGACAAACAAAGTACTGCGATTAAGCTTTTTATTTATTTTCTTCATGTGTTCGAACAAGTGTTTGCTTTTTTGGACACAGAGTGTGTAGGAAATATTCAAATGTTCTGTAATTCCTAACGCTTTCGACTATACTTTTAACCATTATCAAGGATGATTTTATTTTTACTTTTTAATTGAATGTAGCAGTTGTGTGTGTGTTTCTAGAGTTATAGGGATGTTTTATTTTACGATCACTGTCAGCACATTGTGGCCGTGATCGTAGTTAATATTATTAAGTGTTGGCTTTTTCTTTATTTATTATTAAGGCTTCCATTATTTTAAATCTTTTTTTTTTTTTGGATGAGGTTATTATGCTTGTATTTTCTATTAACATCTTTCGAATGAAGTCTGGTATATTTCTGTATGTGTTTAAATGGGTTTTGATGGAGCTATTGACGGATAGGTGTAACGTAAGTCGTCTGGATAGGCATGTAGTAATGAGACCAATGTTAATATTTATGAAATCGGTTTGATCAGGAACACAGTTCTTTAAGGGGCATTTGAACTCGTAAATAATGGATAGTTTCTACACGCACTGTGTCCAGAAAAGAAAACACTTGTTCGAACACAAGAAAAATTGAATAAAAAGCTTAATCACAGTATCTTGTCTATCATTTTTAATGAAATACATACATATATATATATATATATATATTTATATATATATATATATATATAAATGACGTCATATGTTAAGAAATGGACAAGGTCCGACAATTTATTTATTAAAGACATTTTTATGTTTAACGTTGTTATTTATAGATACAAGTATTTAAGCAAATGCTCTGTTTATGATAAACAGTATTAAATAACATTTACCGGCCTGAATGTCCGAGAAATTTTCATAGAAAATGACGTCATTTGTTTACATTCGATACGCCAGAGCAGTTATGAATGTACGAGATTCATGGAAGATTGAAGTTTATAAACAGTAAATTCGACCTTGTCTACCGTAAGTTTCTTTGTGGCCGAGACGGTTAAGGCACGTCAGCGTATATGACGGTTCCGTATAGGATGCAGGTTCGAATCCTGTCAAAGGACGAATATTTTCTATTTTCTCGGACATTCAGGCCGGTAAATGTTATTTAATACTGTTTATCATAAACAGAGCATTTGCTTAAATACTTGTATCTATAAATAACAACGTTAAACCTAAAAATGTCTTTAATAAATATATATATATATATATATATATGCATGTATGTATATATAATAGATGATTTCTAAGTAAATACCTAAAATTTAAAATGACAAAAATTGAAAACGAAATGTAAATATGAAGATTTGATCTTCAAAATTGGGGACGTATTATGGTATAAAACGCCATTGAGCAACATTTTCCAGGTGTTATTTTAATGACTTCTTTATCCTTGTTTGGTGGAGTAATTGATATAATTTTTCAGCACTTTCTAATAGTCGTATATCTCGCTTCATCGCATTACTGATTAGGTTACGGAAGCTAGGAGTCATTCAAAATTAGCTATATCGTTCCATTTGCACCTTCCTCGCTCATCATAACACTGTATTATCTGTTTATAAAGATGGTTTTCGTATGCACATCGCTAAGGTGTTGTGATGCTTAGACGGGATCGTAATGTCAAGAGATCTAAGTTCAAATATCGCTTAAAGATTAATCGATTCTTTCGGTTTACTTATCGGTCCTAGAATCGGGATCGTTTTGTTCCGATAAAAGTTGCGAAAAGAAGATAAAAAAATACTTGTAATAAAATAAATATATTTTCATTACATCCAAATTTCCCTTTTGTTTTCTGGAAAACTTTCTACGCTTACTGCAGCACGGGGGTAAACAGTGAGAAGTAGTCGGGACCTTTTCTTTTACTTACGAACAAATACGAATAGGAAAGATATAAGTCCATCTCTTCTCCCCCTAGCTATGGGTTGAATAGCAGGACAAGACTGGGTCCTATAGCCTTAGTTGGCAACCAATCTACCGCACAAAGAAACGGCAGCCTACCGCAAAAAAATCTTCTGCCTAGCCAGTCATGAATCAAAAGAGACATGATCGCCCAAACGTATGACACTTAACTGACAGACTGTCCCTCTCAGACTGTCCATGAAGCGGTATTGCCTCCCTTGCTTTTAACCTCTCTTTCAGTATTCTTCTTTCTTTTTGATACTTTCTATTATAAGGTTTTTGAAATTCGACGCATATTTTAAGAATATCTCTTCACTCTTTACCAAGTACCAGCAAATCATCTAGCTCCTTTTTGAGGAGGGTAGAATTTTATCAGGTATGAATTTCGGTTCAGGGAACCATTCTCAAAAAACAATATTCGGTTCTTTCCGTTCAGGGTTTGTAACTCCTCCTTTGTCCATTCAACCAACCCATCGCTATACCGTAACACAGGTACAGCCCAGGTATTAACGGCAGTTATAAGATTACGGGCATTCAACATAGACTTCAGGAGATGCAGTGACCATTTCATGTATGCCTCTGTTATTACTATTATTTCTATTTTCATGTATATATCTGTTATTACTATATTGTGTTTTCTTGCCAGAGAGTAATATTAAATGCTTAATTACTAAGTCCCTCTTGGGCGTCTATGAGTTAAAAGGGCACAGCAGGTGAGTTATCTAGGCACATTGGTGACGTTCCGTTTAGATGAAGAGGATTTTATAGCCTTGATTGGCAACTTGTCTAGAAAAAGAAAGACACAGCAAACTACTGCAAAAAAAACTTCCTTTTAGTCAAAAGAGACATGATCACCCAAGCGCGTATGGACTTAAATGTCTGACTGAAGATTGTATTCGGTCAATTCTCGAGATTCGAAGTGCTTGTCTCCTTTGAAAATCCACATAAAAAACTCTGTTTTTAATCTGAGCTCGAACACTGACCACTGACACTGGTGTGAAATATACTACAATCGAGGCAGACTACTTCGATATTTTTCAGGGATTTTTTTATATATATATATATTCTGAAAATTACACAGATATAATTAATATTACTTTTTCTTGTTTTCTTTGTTTCTGTTTTTCTTATGATTAGGGTGGTAGGTCTTTTGCCACGTTTCAGGTGGTTCCAACGTTTTTGTTTTTTTCTTGTGTATATATATATATATATATATATATATATATATATATATATATATATATATATATATATATATACACACACACATATATATATATATTCATATATATATATATATATATATATATATATATATATATATATATATATATATATATATATATATATATATATATATATATATATATGTGTGTGTGTGTGTGTGTGTGTGTGTGTATGTATATATGTATACGTATATACAGGTAGTAATCTGTTGCTATAATCCGAGTGAGTCCTATTAAATGTGTACGCATGTATATTCAAATTCCTTCTAAAGTTTTGAAAACACTTCCCTTAATTTTATGGTTTCTCATATATGGACGAATTTAACACACCAATAATTTTGAATTATCTCGCTTTCATCTCACTAATATTATCTCTTGATATAAATTAGTTTGTTTTTTTTTTCATTTTTTCGTTAATTTCCGTGGATCCCCGTTGTATTAAACATTAGCCGTGTGTAAGAAAAAAATATATATACCACAGAATTATACCACAGAATTTATATATTGTTTTAAATGTGATGGAGCGTAAAACGAACATCTTTCGTCCAAAACTTCAGAAAGATTCGTTGAAAAACAAAACAAAAAAAAAAAAAAAAAACAATCATACACGTCGAAATTAAAAAAATGCAGGGGCGGTAAATAACGAGTCAACGACTAAAATCAATTTATTCCTAAAACAATAAATCGATTTAAATAAGCTCCTAGTGCGTATAAAACAGAAAAAATGTACTCACGACACACCCATGTGATACAGACAACGACAAAGAAACACACTTCAGTCTTATAGCTTATGATTTTTTTTTGTATGTTTTTTTCAAACGAAACTTTATGAAGAGGTGTTGGACGAAAAAAATGCGCTCCATCATTTTTATATATATATATATATATATATATATATATATATATATATATATATATATATATATATATATATATATATATATATACCTCATGGTGGTGTAATTATTAGCAAGCTTGTATTGCAAGAACAATTACGACTGATTAGAGTTCGATACTCACTGGGTGCCCCCTATTTTCGGCCTTGTGCCACATCTAAGCTACGCTTGGAAAATCACTATATATATATATATATATATATATAAATATAAAAGTGAACATTGAAGACAACACTCAGAGGCAACAGCCTGTTTTTGTACTTAAAAGCAATCGTCGCTATGATCTGAAGATTGCGTTTAACATAGGTGTTGACATCAATGTCATTACATTTGCCATAAGGGGACGAAACCCGTTGTTTAAGATAAATTTTCCTTTTGTCTTTATATATATATATATATATATATATATATATATATATATATATATATGTGTGTGTGTGTGTGTGTGTGTGTGTGTAAAAAGGTAATTGAACGAAACGTGTCCGCTAATAATACAG